GTGTGTGTGTGTGTGTGTGTGTGTGTGTGTGTGTGTGTGTGTGTGTGAATTGCTATATTCCCTCCAAATTGAGACACTTGCTCTGGAAGTAAGGGAAGGTTCGTGGACCCCAGGAAGTAAATAATGGGCCACATGTTGGAGAGAACAGGAAAACCTGGAGATCTCCCGGTAGCCACTACTTAGCAATGAAAAAAATGATTAAGCAGTTGCAAGGAGTTGAGATGCTGCCAAGCCAAATTGAGGGGAAGAAAAGAGGTATTCAGAGCTCCAGGCATATAGGTTTGAGGGAGTCTTCAATTGTGTTAGGGTGAGCTTTTTGGTGATACAGCCACTTTTGTGTTATTCCTGTACCTCATAAATAATTGGTCACTCATACTCCTGTTAGTATCTCTAATTTAAAAAAAGCTCATTGGTAGTGTATCAAAGCAGATAACTGAAACTCATAATCAAACCTTGGGCGAAATGCAGGGAATCATATGAAAGAAGGGGGAGTTAGTAAGACATGGAAAGGACCGAGAGCCAAAAGACCAAATATATCTGGGTACAGTGGTCTTTTCTGAGACTGATTCTCCAACAAAGGACCATGCATGGATATAACCTAGAACCCCTGCACAGATGTAGCCCATGGCAGCTCAGTCTCCTAGTGGGTTCCCTGGTAATAGGAACAGGGACTGTCTCTGACATGAACTCAGTGGCTGGCTCTTTGACACCCCCCCCAAGGGAGGAGCAGCTTTGCTAGGCCACAGAGGAGGACATTGCAGCCAGTCCTGATGAGGCCGATAAACTAGGGTCAGATGGATGGGGAGGACAACCTCCCCATCAGTGGACTTAAAGACGGGAGGGGAAGAGATTAGGAAGAGAGGGTGGGATTGGGAGGGATTGAGGGAGGGACCTACAGTTGGGATACAGAGTGAATAAACTGGAATCAATATAAAAAAAATTTAAAAAAGCTCATTGGTTCACCAAATTGGAAGTTGGTACAATTGTTATTTTGGTCCATCATGGATTGAATAGGGGTGTGTGTGTGTGTGTGTGTGTGTGTGTGTGTGTGTGTGTGTGTTATCTCTCCAGAACAAGTCTATTACACGATAGCATACATGCATACATATACCACGGCATGCATGTGGCAGTCAGAGGACAACTTGCTAAAAGTTGTTTCTCTTCTTCCATCATTGGGTCCAGGAGATGAGACTCAAGTTACCAGACTTGGTGCAGGCCTCTTTATTCACTGGACAATATTTCAAACCATTGCAACATACCTAGCTTTGACATAGTTTCTGAGATATGAAGTCAGGTTCATCAGGCTTTGGTGACAAGCACTTTACCCACAGAGCCACCTACCCACCTCTAAAACCAGATATTTTTGCAGAAGTAGCCCTTGCTATCATCCTGCTCACCCTCCATTCCTGCAGCTCTGTAATCTTTGCCTATAGTATGTCTCTCCAGGTTGCAAGAACTTCCTATGATGAAACAAAAATGCTTGCATTTAATATTTCACATTTTCTTAATAATGTTACCCTTCTTAGTGTAAAAAAACTGTTTGTTTGGTTTTTTTTAATTAAAATTAGTTAGCCTGATATGGGTCCATATTTCCTGAACCTCCCTTTGTTCCTTTGCAGTGTTTACTCAATCCTCTTAAATTCTAACCTTAATTTCCCACAACCTAGTCAGAAATAAAAGACAGAGTCCACCTTGGCCAAGCATTCTCACTGGCCTGTTTTGGATTCTAGTACAGACTTTTGTTTTGTTTTGAGACAAGGTTTCTCTGTATAGCCTTGGCTGTTCTGCAACTCAGTCTGTAATCCAGGCTGGACTCGAACTCACAGAGATCTGCCTGAGATGAAAGGCATGCGGCTGCTAGCACAAACTTTTACACAAAGAAATTCTCTTGTTAATTTGCTTTTTGTTTGGTTCATGTGCTCCTTTGTTCCACACAAAGACTATTTTCCCCAACAACTAGCATACAAAAGCGTCTTGTCTGTGGGGTTAAATAGTTTGTTGGTTTGTTTGTATTCAGTGCTAGGCCTGGAACAAAGCTCCTCACTCACCCTAGGCTAGAAGTTTACACCTGAGCGCCACTAAAGACCGAAGTGATAACTCTGAGATTAACTGATTAGAAAATTGCTTTGTGTATGTATTTCTTTAACCACTCTGTAAAGTGTTCTGGTCTAGAGAGCTATTCTAATGTTCTCTCAACGTAAAGAGGGCAGGACCTTCATGATGTGTCAGCAGTTTTTTCTGTGATCCTCCCTAGAAGGGTATTATATGTGAGTTCTCACAAATATTCCGTTTTTAAACATCTGACCTATTTCGATTTTTTCACAGTGATCATTAGGGTTTCTTTGTTACTGGATCTTACCAAGGAAAATGCTTTAAATTCTGCTCCCGTGCCTAGATGGACCGACACAACTCTACATTCAACGTCTTCAAAGAAATACGGAGCAGTAGCTCCTAACATGTAATGTCAACTTAATTCCTAAAACGGAGAACATTGGAGCCATGAGACGTTCCCCAAGTTTGACAGAGTTCTTTTTAATTCTTTTCCCCTACCCTACTCTCTGCCTCCAAATAACCTTAAAATTCATCATTAGTCCTCCTCAGGGGCCTTTCTTGGTATCCAGAGAGATGCCTGAATCCAGGTGCAAATCAGGGCCCTTTTCTTGAATATATCTTAAAAGCATTTTGCTTCAAGCAGCTTTTTTCTCAGGCTTCCTAAGGACAACTATATTGCCTTTTGGGGTGGGATTCTTCTCTTTACGCCCACACATACCCACTCCCACTTCCGCACCTGAACTAGCCACACCCAGGAACACGCGTATGGCTACTTTGAACTTGCGCAGCCTGATACAAAGATTTTCGTCGGAAACAGGGAGGTCCTCCACAGTAGGCTCTACCTGCAAAGCTCTCGCAATGGCAAGCAAGTACTTCTACTTTGACCACGACTGTTATGGAGTGGGATTTTATGAGGAAGAAATAGTGACCGAATCTAAGCGGAGGGCGGCTACAGCAGCGCCCTGTAGCCGCTTTGAAAGAGGTGTTCGAGCACTGCATGAGCTAGGCCATGGTGACCACATGAGCTATAAATACAATCATTACTACAACTACAACCACGAAAAAAAGAAGAAAATGCAAACCAACCGCTGTGAGCATAGACGGGGAAAGCTAGAGGCGCCTGGGAAAGCAGCTGGAGTAGTTTCTCATCGCTCCAATAAGAGGCCACAAAAACACAAGTTCACCAGTGGGCAACTGCATGAACTGGACAGGGTTTTCCAAGAAACCCAGTATCCTAGTGCACATCAAAGGTATGTACATTTTTTTTTTCAGAATCTACTATTTTTTAGGACTTTGGGCTTTTTTACTCTCTCCTGGCCTCTGCTTCTTTACAATAATAATAATAATAATAATAATAATAATAATAATAATAATAATAATAATAATA